CATAAATGAGATAAAATGTTTTTCTCGGGTAGACAAGGGAAAGCGGTACAGGTGGTAACCTCTGTGCCGCTTTCCCTTGTCTACCTGAGGAAAACAGTTTTATGCATCCACTATTCAATTTCTTCCCTAGGGTATGTTCAAATCCTTGAAAGCCCTGGTAGGACTGACCAGTTGGCTGACAGATGGGGTCTGAGTTCTCTTGGACATTTCTACAAAGCCTTGGATATTTATTCAATCCTTGTGGCCACAGCTAAGTCTATGAAAAAAATCACAATATTTTTGAAACTGGGACATCTACATTCCATGATTAGACTAGCTCTCATGATTGAAGGGACACACACACACACACACCCTTCCTTGAAAAAAAAAAAAACACACACACACACACATCTTGCTGGTACAGACCCTGTGCTGCTTCTGTTTACTATTTAGTCTGAAGACAAAATATGAGGGATTTTTTAGACTCAAAAGGTGAGTTACGGTACGGGGGGGCAAGAAAGCAGAGCACAGGGGAGTCAACAGGCAGGAGGTTTGAAGAACTGGAAAAACTACATTGCTTTTCAGGAATTACAAGTAGTTTAGTGACTATTCTAGATTGTTGAGTGGAACTGAGGAATAGTGAAATATATATCTGCAAATATGAGTCTGAAGCATCATAGTTTTTTTTTTTTTTTTAATTTTATCCATTTCAAACAGCAAAGTTTCAGATATCTGGTCTAAATACACATGTATCCTATCATGATGAGTTAATGATCATAAAAATTTTACAGATCATACTGCTTAGGTTCATTCCTTCTGCTGCTATGCATTACTATTTTCTAATGGTTCTATCTCAGAATGGTATTCTACACATTAAGATAAAACTTAAAAATCAGATCTATTTTGCATATTAGAAAACTGAAAGCAAGTTTAAGGGATCTCAATTCTCGGCATCCAATCGTTCTTTGCGGTTCATAGAAAGAGTCAGAATATAACCAGTGTTTGAGGATAACAAGACAAACCCTGGATTATTCTGGAACCAAGTACAGGGTGAGAAGCATAGACGCTACACACAAACTGTGAATTATATATTTCAATAAATTAATGAAATAATTGCTGAGAATGAGAAAGTTATAAATTAATGGTAAATTTTCATCTAAAAACTAGATGAATATACAATTGGCCACTGAAAAACATAGGGGTTAGGAGAACCAGCCCTACACAGTCAGAAATGTTTGTATAACTATGGATGGCTCAAAACTTTATTAATATCCTACTGTTGACTAGGATAACTGATAACACAATTAGTCTATTAACACATACATAGACTAATATCTTCATATATTTTAGGGACTCGTTACATAACTTCTTTTTTGTCAAATTTTTCAAGATCTCTAGGCTACATAAGTCATTTGTCAGTATTCTCAAATTGTCACAAATATCCAAAAAAAGTAACATATTTATTGAAAAATTCCATATATAAGTGGACTCACTCAGTTAAAACCTACATTGTTTAAGAATCAACTGTATAACACTACGAACAATTTCTGCAGGTAAAAACAAAAACTTTGTAATTAGTAAGCTTAAACTGCAGTAAAATGCAAATGTATCATTTCCACTATTTTTAGTCAACTCTTACAGGAATTATTTATTTATTCCAATACAGATGAGAAAATAGGATTCTTTGGACACTGGAACATATTAACTGGATAATGAAAAACTGAAATATTTTTAAAAATTAGTTTGGAGATGGAAGGAGCTTTGGAAATAAAAATTAAGGAGCTTTGGAAATAAAAATAAAAATAATCATGTATACTAGTTAATTTCCCCACTATCTAGTATCTATTCAGAACCACATGGAAAAGAAAGAGAGTAGGAAGAAAGTAAGAAGTAACGTTTGGTAAGCCTAATGACTTTTAACATGGAGAAAACTGAGATTTTGTTTTCATTTATTTCCATGTTGATATTATCTGTACTGTATAAAAGCACCAGAGTTATTTTTAATACAAATTTTATTTATTTCAAACAGCAAAGTTTCAGATATCTTGTCTCAACACAAATGCATCCTATCATGATGAATTAATGAACATAAAAATTGCAGACCATACTGCTTAGGTTCATGGCATTTGTTGCTATACATTATTTTACTTTTAGAATCTAATGGTTCTGCCTCAATATGGTATATATATTCTCCACATTAAGATAAAACTTAAAAATCAGATCTCTTTTGCAAGTTAGAAAACTGAAAGCAAGTTTGTGCAACGCCCTTTAAAAGTAATAAACCATGACTAACTTCTTAGTCTAAATTATTGTTCTTACAAATAGTGTGTTTCGGCTCAAAATGATATAGAAAATCATGTTGGCATTCAACATCTGAACTGTCTACTGATGTATTTAAAATCTCTGGATTTAAACTAAATGTGGCTTTTTTGACCTTTGATAGCTAGTCATTTTGGTTCTCCACTTCATAGTAATACAGGATGAACAAGATTTGTTTTGTTACATATTAAAATTTATATTGGCTATTTATGGCACAGAATTCATATTACTAAATTTTTCAACACTGTTGTATCTCAAGGTTCGTCTGTACATTGTGTGAGTGCTTAATTATTTCTAAATAATCTTTGATGTTATCAAAGAAAACAGATAATTAGATAAGAATTTATGTATTAGAAGCCACTTACGAAAACAAAATTTATTTTTAGTTGCTAACAATTGCAACTAAAAATAATGGTGTTTTGATCTCATATTTAGAGAAAGAAATTGTTAAAATATTTAGCTAACTTCTCATATAGTGGCTGATGAATAAATATTTAATAATAACCAATTATTGACTTTCATTCGGTGCAAAGCATCATTCAGATTGCTGGGCAGAAGTAAGGAATCTCAAGCATCAAAACCAAAAATTATATTAATCTGAATCCTTAAAAATTTGGAATGGTTTTTAATCTTAATTTATTAAATAGAGGATTATGGTTTTTTAATACCAAGAGAACTTCAGCAATACACAAAATTTAAGCCCACTGAATAACATCTTCTGTGATTTATTTCTGCATTTGTAAAAGAATGTTTATCTCTAATAATAGTCAAAGTAGATTATAAAGTGATTTTAATGAGACATATCAATTTGGTCTTTGAATAACTCTTTTATACATTTTACAACATTTCAATTATAACAATGATTAGTGAATATTATTGAAAAATCAGTAAAGGTAAGGTCTAGAAATGATACTATCAATATTTTAACATTTTCTTGTAATCTTTTATTCTGTATAAGCAAAATTTTCATAAAATGTGAAAGACTTTGTAAAAGTCTAGATATTACCTTTTGATAATTTTTAAATAAAAATTTTCCATATTCATTTGCAAAAACAATATCACAACATTACTTCAATGACGTACAAAATTTCCATCACTGATATGATAATATCACAAATTATTTACCATCTCTTCCATTGTTCAATATTTTATGTTTCTATATTTTCAGTGTCCTAATAGTCATTTCATGAGATTGTTGAGAAAATAAAATAAAGTCTCTAAATTGCTCAAAAAAAAAAAATCCTGACAGATATTGTTACCTATAAGAATAATAACAATTATTTGTGTTGTTTTATATTATTGTAAGTTAGAATCAAATTTCAACTTACAATTTTTTCATGGGTTTTATGCTTTTAGATGACATAATATTTAATCTGCGTTTTGTATGTTTTCTTTTCTAACAATTTTCCAAAATTTCTAGACATGATTTTATAAAATTAGGGACTAAGAGTTTTATATTTCCCTCAGTAAATTAAATATGTTGTATCAAATTTAGAATTTTCAAAAATTCATGCTATCTTCATTATAATATATAAAATACAGATATTTATTGAATAAAAATAGTTTCAGTTTGCATTTAAATTTCTTGAATGTGAACAGATTGATTTCAGATGACTCTTTGAAATCTTTGAGCATCAGTGTACCTTACTAAATTCTTTTTATTTTAGACAACAAAACATTTTACCAACAGTTGGCCTATCCTAGTTATTAAACCTTTTGTACACAGATTGTCATCAGCTGACCTAAAACAACAGCTTTCCAGTGGAAATAACTGCGGAAATGTTTTTTCTCATTGGCCCGAAATCAAACATGTGTTTTCCTAAACAACTAAAATATAACTTTTTTATTGATATGTGCTAATTACTGAAAGCATTAATTACAAAGTTATACATTGGATTTTCATACTGACAAAAAATTTCGTATCTGAGGGGTCAAGATAGTAATATATTTTGAATATTTCAAATAGTTGATAAGACTACATTCTGAAATAATAGCTTTTGAGTCATTATTTTTGATTAAATGTTTGTCAAAATCATATCTCTATATTGAAAAGACAGTAGTTTATTTTCACCCATAACTGTGTTGAGAGCTAATTTAAATATACTATAGAAAATAGTCTTTAGTTGTTTCAGCTATACTGACTTTCAATCTCTTTTGAACTCTCTCCGTAGAAATTATGATAGGTTTTAAAACTTTTCATGCTCTTCTTGTATGAAATATTCAAGTCTTCCAATTAGTTTTTTAAAAGGCAATAATTGGTAATATAGCAAGTCTTCAACATTTTGGTTTCTACTTCAAATTATATTATTTCCATTTATGAAGAAAATAATAGTGTCCATTGTTTGCATACACAGGCTTTTGGTTGATTTTAGGGTTTCATTAGTGTAACAGTCAAGGCAGAAACATATTCATGTCTCCAAATAGGTCTTTAAAACAGCACATTTGCCAGTGTGCTTTATTTTTATAGTGCTATAGATAATGGTTGTGAGTTTCTTAAAGGATAGAATTTATGGGTGTTATTACAAATGTAACTCAGGGTTCCCTAAGATTCTGAAATCTAAAAATAAATGCATAGCTTATCTTACTAAAATTAAAATAGTAATGGTCCCATATGGCCATTCGGTTTGTCTAGTACATTCTCCCATAAAACAGATAGGACTTCTCAGTAATCTGTGATAAAGGATAAAGAAAGAAAACATTACCTTCTGTATAGTAATGATTCCTTCCTGTGTCTCTTTGTCAACAGAAATCTTAAAAATGCCCAGTCCATCACCATCCACAATTTTGTACTCCATTTCAGCATTAGCTCCAATATCTGCATCAGCAGCTTTAATTCTGGCAACAACTGAGGCTATAGGCAATGATTCTGGGACATTATATTGGTAAGAACCTGTGAAATTCAAAACAAGAAATGAACACATTACACCAAGCTAACCAATAAAAAGTTAAACTACTGGGTTATTTTGGTATCATCTTAGGTTAACGTATTTTTATTTTTTAATAAAAACTATACTACAGTAATCGGAAACGAAAGACAAATTTCATATAGCCTTAAGAAATTTGATGGGAATGATTAGCTAATAATCACTGTGACAGCAGAAATAGATGGTCTGAGGAAAGGCAAGAGTGGAATCTCTAATTCCTGTATTTCTGGTGGTGAGAAATATCCTACATTAAAAAATAAAAATAAATTTAAATTAATTATAATTGATATATAATTTTAAATGTAACTATTATAACTATATTGAATTACATTAAAAATTATATATGTAAAATAAGAAATAAATAGTAATATAAAATAAATAATAAATAGTAATTTATAGTAAATAGAAATAAAGTTATATAAAATACTAAGAAATAAAAATAGAATAGATTGTGCTTCAAATGAACACCCACAAAAAAGCCTAAATCGTTTTCACAACATAATGTTGGAATTTACTTAGCATCTTTTACCAAGAGAGTTTCAGAAAACTGGGTAAAAAAGGAGAAGAATGATGTCTGTGGGTGGTATGTAGAACTGATTTGGGGCACAATGGTCCAGAATCCTAGGCAATATTATTTGAACCAAAAAAAAAAAAATTAAAATAGAAAAAAATAACTTTTTAAAACTTTTGTTTAACTTTTGTAATAACTCCTCTTCACCATCCCTAAAGAAAATGTTTGGGGGCAGACGAAGAAACACATGAACCATCACTCAGAAACGTGGAAACACCTCAGCACGCTATATTCCCTGACGATTGTTTCTCTAATCATTAACATTTTTCTGCCTCCTGAATCTTCTTCTGTTTCCTTTGATTGTTAAATTGTGGTGCATTTGTCCTGTCTTATGAAGGGAGAAGGAAGGATTCTCTCTGAGTAGAATACAGAAAGGAAAACGTGCCTGTATGACGGAAATACGTATTAGATTTGGAGTTGTTTCCAATTTTCTAGAATTTGTGAATTGTTACTTTTTAAAAAAATGATTATAACATATGTTATCACTTTTGAGTGACTCCTTTCACACATCTCAAAGTATCCTTTGTAAAATTAAAAAATGTCAATGTTAAGCTAGTAATTCACTGGTACAGAAAAATCCCAGCAAAAGCGAGTAACAATGATATATCTTTGACTTTATACACTTTAATAAATAAATCTATAATTTATATAGGGGATCTATAATGGCCTAGAAAACCTGTATCTTACTAAAATTCTACATTTTTTTAAATCATTCTAGGCTTAAACGAAAGAGAAGCTGTTCATTTCATTATGAGCCCAAGAAATTGGATCATTACATTATTTTAATTCTAAAAGTTCTTCCTTCTTCTTTATGATAGGCCATCAAGAACACAATTAAGAATAGGCTTAAAAAAATAATGCTAAACTTGGGGCCACTGTTTTATATTACCAGGAGATACCATTTGTTGTATAATAATATAAATATTAAAAATATATAGATAAAGGTAAAAAAAGTTTTTAAAGCAGTCATTGAAGGAAAAAACAATGGCACTCATATTTGCTCAGGCAGCTTCCTTTTTTGATATAATTCACTTCTAAATTCTGTTGGTAGGGAGTTTAGTTTCCCATTTCAACTGGAAAAGCATTTTGGAGGCATTGTACAGACATTGTAGTCTGTACGATCTCTTTATTTTCTTGAATGTTCTAAAGAAATAGCACATACACTTAGGGGGGGAAAAGGGAACTGAAAAGAGAATGAAGTGAAGCGTATTTTCCAAACAGCACACCTCTACCTAGATATTTTTTTTTCTTTTTTCTTGGTTAAATTAAAAGCCGCTTTGGTCAAAGAAGTAGAATTGAGGGCATTTGGTTTTCCAGTTCTTTAGATTGATTTTTAAAACACTGAATGTTTGCACAAGAAAGATGTGGGGAACTGCTAAAGGAATGCTCAGGGTGAATGAACTGGCTTAAAAAAATGTGAAGTGAAAAAATGAAAATGTTTATTACCCTTTTCTCATTTTCAAAAATAAAGCAGTATTTTAGTGCATAGAATGAATAAAACATATTTGACTATTATTAACTGGCAACAACCTTATAACTTACAAAATATAAAAAGGATAAGTCTTAGAAAAAAGACTAATACATTAACACAATTAATAATTGTCTGGTATTCACAATGTGGATGAAGGAAAAATCTTACTACATTTGAGATAGAAGTAATGCAAATATATGATGGCTTCTACTTCTGCCCAATACTATTACAATCCATATTGCTCAATCAAAATCATATCTCTAACAAAATGTAAATTTGGGAGAATGAAGTAAGATAATTATTTGCTTTAAAAGTATTTGAAAAAAATTATAGATGTATTTATGACTTTCAGAGAAATTTACTGCACTTGTATCCCTTAAGAAAACAACTTACTTCGAGGAAAGCGAGGTGGATTATCGTTGACATCAGTTAGGGTCACAGTGACTGATGTAGTTCCTGACAGTCCTCCATTTTGACCAACCATATCCTTTGCCTGAATAACAAGCAAATACTGGTCTTTAGCCTCTCTATCCATGTTTGGAAGGGCAGTCTTGATGACTCCTGTAAAATTTCAAACCCCAGTAAAACGCATCATGAATCACTGCATTTACACTAACAAAGAATACTGATACAAGTAGCAAGTCGTTCTTGAGTTGTTGCTTTCTGTAGTTTTGTTTACTTTAAATTTTTTTGTGTGTATTAAAGATCAAATAAATACGATAGTTTTACAGTAACAAAACAGAGAAAACATTATTAACTTGATTTTCTCAATACTGGATAAAAAGGATTATCATTAGGTTTCATGGAAAAGTGGTCAATGAAACAACAATTTACAAATAAATAAAATGGCCTTTTACCTAGAATAATGAACAGTCACCTGTGCAAGTGCAAAGCAACGAACTTGCCTTTTTCTTCCATCTCAACAACTTATAAAAATGTATAACCACCTATTATCAGTTTTCAAGTTAAATAATATTTCCACTATCTTTAGCAACAATATTTTTGTTTAAATCTGAGCACATGAGCTCACAAACACAAACACACACATATATCAGCAACAGATCCATATTTTAAGCATATAAATTACACTTATTTGAGTAGTCCAGGTTGCTTATTTTTTTTTAACTTATTCATTTACTGCAGTTGGATGTTATTGTCACAGCAATCCATGCTGACTTTAAGTAACACTTTCAATGAATCCTTACGTCTGTCTACAAACTTTAAAATTGATCTTTGAAATATTATAATAAAAATGAAAAAAAAATCACATACAAATTAGGTCCAGGTGATAAGCACCCAATATACAGATATTCTTCTTAGAGCCAAAATGATTTTATAGATTTTTCATGTTTGTTTTTCTAAACTTCTATTAACTCTAGTTTAAAACAAAGCAAATATTGACTTCCCTAATACTGTCATCAAACATAAACAAACTTGGTCTGAGAGTTCTGTAACATAAATATCTCCATCTTTTCCTTTCTGGTTTTTCTGTTTGTTATTATTTGCTATTATTCATCATTATTTCTATAACTCATTTTTTAAAAATTGAGCGTTGCTTATTTTGAATATGACCAAAATGTATTTCATTTTTATGGAAAATTATTGAGTTATTTTTAGTTAAGTCCCACTTATTTTTATTTTTAAAAAAATTCTATTCGTCTCTCATTTTTCCTTCTAATATCAATATGTGTGTTATCTTTGCTCATTTATTGTGATGGAGAGAAGTCTACAACCACTTAACTAATCAACAAAGGAAACACTGTAACCTCATGCTCTCATAGGTTTGCTTAGTGGAATTATTTTTGAAAGGAAACCCAGCGTCATAAAGATAGAAGTACTGGTAGTCAAAGTTTCTCACTTATTTTTCACACATCTAATTGTCTCTTTATAAGTGAGCCTATAAATAACACATTTCCAAGGCAGAAATCATCACAAAGTTTGCAAATCAATGCAGGTAGGAAAGGTAATTTCCAAATGCCTCAACTATTGAACATATTTTTGACAAGAATAACATAATTGGGAAAAGTTGATTTGAAATAAGAACACCCACTAATAATAGATTTCTACTTGTATGGCATTTGCTAGCTTTTACTTTTAAGTGAAAACTGTCTAAATTTGGAAAAGCATTCTCATACATTGGATTTCAAGTGTGTTTTGTCATGTATTACATAATTGTGTATATAAATACACACGCAGAGAGAAAATTGTTAATACCATATGACTGAACTAGTAAAGTCTAGTCTCGACCAATTGGATACATATAACTCTGTGAGATTTTCATGCATGATAACAATATTACATAATTTTAATATTCAATAATTTTATGTCACTTAGGCTTAGCAAAAAAAAAATTCTATCTATGGGTTCTTTGGAAAAGACACTGGCTCCTATTTTAGGGTTTGTGAATCAGAATTTTTTCATGGCTATAACATCTGACACCATAACTCAGAACTTTTCATTTATTTAGTATCCATGTTCACAGAAAGCACTGTGCATGTAAAACATAAACATATTGCTATTGTTCAAAAACTGCTTTAAGTATAGGAAAAAAATTCTGATGATCTAATATCCTATCAGCCTCAAATGATTTTTTTAAAGCATATTCTGCTACTATGGAATCTCCTTAAAAATTTGGTATATGTACTCCACGTAACAGACAAGAGCCATTTCTGAAATCTATCACACTTTAGGGAAGCAATGGAGCATAGGCGCTGCATATTCAAGCTTTAAATTACCCTCAAGAATCTAGGCAACCATATGAACCCAAATATTAATAACAGGGGCTGGGGATATTCACACTGTGAGGGCTCAATCCTTTAGGATTTTCCTCACTAAAACTAAATCAACATTTTTGGATATCACTTTGACTGGACTACCATTCCAAGGGGAATCCCAATATTGCAGAACCACCTTTCTCAGGAATCTTGTTAACTGAGGAAGTAACAAGGTTACTTCTCACAGTAATCAGGACCTGGGTCATCAGCACTTCCAACTCCCCAAGCCCTTTATGCTCCCCTCTCTCCATTACAGACTTTATTGTCTATAGCTACTCTAAGAATTCTAAAACCATACAATTAGACATTAAAGGTATTGGTTTCCTTACAGCTTGTATTTACTTAATATATATCAAGAGGTAAGTGATACCAAAAAACAAGGCCCCTAGTTGGGGCTTAGCCCAAGAGGTTCTTTGCTTTGCCCACGAAGGAATTCAAGGGCAATCCTGTGGTTTTGAATAACAAGTTTTATTAACTGGGACTACTCTTTGTGGAGCAGTGCTAACTAATAGGCAGTATGCCCAGACTCTGCAATCTATGGTTTCTTGGCAAATGTATTTTTACTTACGTAAACTCAATTTCAATTACATGTCAATTAAGGGGTGGGTCAACGAAAATTGAGGGGAAGATTATTTTGAAATTTCTAGGAAAGGGGGCAGTAACTTCTGGGTCATTGCAATGGAAAGAAGTGGTAACTTCTGGGCTATTCCCATGGCAATTATTAACTGTCATGGCACTGATGGGGGTGTCTTATGCCAATGAGGGCAGCTAGGGATCGCTTTTGTCAACATCTGCTGGTTTCTGCCACTTTCTCTACTTTATCCTGTCTGGAATAGATCCTGTTTTGGTTAGCAGGGTTTTGACCAGAAAATAAGTCCTGCTGGTCTCCTATCTCATAAGGACCAGGAATCAACTAAAGCCATTTGGTATGGCCATCACCAAAATGGAGCAGCCAGTGAAGGGAGCACCATTGAGACATGAGCAGGAGAATCATGCACCAGCATAAAGTCATTTAAAATACATGTAGTTTGGCTGTTTGCTTTACTTTTAACAGAACTAAAATTGGATATCATGTTAGTCCTGTTGGTAACTCCTTTGGAGATAATTATTTTTGTGTGATTATTTCTCAGTGAATGCAAATAATAGATATGACTGTAATGAACTGAATATGTATTCATGTATTCAGTTTCTATCAATATGTATTCTGAGTATTTAAAATATCTCAGTGATGCTTGTTACCAAGATTCCCTTATTCTGTTTTTCATTGTATAAATGAGTGTTATGTTACTTGGAGTTTAGAAATATAGTACATATTCAGGAAAATATGTCCAATATAATGTTTTGCTAGTGAAGTCACAATTGTATATTTTCATGCAATGTGATCAGCTATTATGTTATAGGTGAGAGTACTCCCCCATGCAAATTCTGACTGGATAACAATGATCACTTTTGTAAATTTATTCTGAGTCCTAACTGCCACTTTCTTTCCTGGGGAGAGCTCCCATCAGAGTAATTCACCAATTGTAATAAACCCAACTCATTCTGTAATGTAAAATATTGATAAATATTGAAATTAAAAAGGAAAAAACTCAAAACTTATACAAAGTTCATTAAAAGTAAATTAGAAATAGAATGAAAAATGGGATGTACAGACATTCTTAGGTGTCTGTATCTTTGAGACTTGAATTGCACTGTGAAAGTAAATATACCAGTTTAGATTTTTTAAATATCATGAGTGCAATATATTGTGAAGTCTTATGTTACATATATGTAGAACTACAGAGAAGAATACAGATTGGGGTCAAGAAACACTCTTTGATGTAAATGTAGACAGTGAGGCATGAGGAAATAGATCCTGAACAAAGCAGTTTCAACTCAAAAAAATACTAATGATGCTTGAAAGTCGAATTTCAAAGGAACTTAGAAACTGAAATGGGCACAATATTTCAGGCTTACTTTCTGTTTTTAAAAATATCCTTTGATAATAATAGTTTAAATACTAGAATATAAATTATAAATGAATTTCATATAATAGGCAATAAAATCAAGTATGGTACTCTTATTACTGATATTTATCAGCAGTAAATCAAATATGAGGGAAATGTACGGCCCTGGCTATGCAAAAGCTATGTTACTAATTAATATGAGAAAACTCTTGGGGGGAAAATATTTATAAAACTAATATCACAAAAGTTTTTGAATGCCCATTTTCTTTTACACATAAGATAAAAATCTGCTAATGAGTTTCAATTTCTTTCTAAATTTTGTCCCTAAGCTCTGCATTATTTTGCTTGTGTATCTGTAGTATAGATATAAGAGAACTATAGAAAGAGGGAGAAGAGCCAACAACAGTGAAATAGTAACGTTGGAAGCTACTGGAATATCAAAGAATTCCGGCGTTGGCAGCAAAAGAAGAGTCATTGAGGAAGGGACTCTTCTTGAAATTTGTGGGGGATGTCCTCAGCAAGCCTTCAAGAGGCAGCACCCTTGCATAGCACGAGAACCGGACATGTGCAAAGGCTGTAGTTGGAAGGGTCGTGTGTTAAGACAATACCACCCGCAAAAATTATAATGTAATAGGTATGCATGTAACACAATGCCGCCACCATGTAGCCATACTTCTTATGTCTAAAAGAGAACTCCTAAATGACAAATGATGCTTAACATTCAATCCATTTTCCAAGGCTTGCTTCATGGCCAGGTGACCTGTGCAGTCATACTGACCCCGTACTTAGTTAAAAGCTCTGCTGATGATGTCTTTAAATCCTTAATCATTTAAGAACAAAGGGCCTGCATGTTCATTTTAAGCTGTGAATTAGGTAGCCAGTCCTGCCATGAATCAAATAGACCCAAAAAAGGTATCTATTTGCTTGTGGGTTGAAAAATAAATAAATACACCTTAGAATAATCCTGAGTACATCTGATGGAATAAATGTAATGTCTATAATCTCCTGGTAAGTTTATGGACCTTATGAAGATAGGTGATGAGAAGTTCCAAGGGAATGTTGCTTTATCTTGTTTCTGGTGCCATGCTACCTTGTATGTTAAAGTCAACTGTTAACACTGGGTATTGCAATTACTCACATTCTAGCTTGGGGAAAGGAGAAATTAATACAGAAAATATAGTTACACTCTGGTCATTTGGGCTGCAAATAGTGCTATAGATGAGATTTGTGCTCTGAGGTTTTAGTCATGTTATTTTCTTAGAAATTGAGAAGAAGAAATTTATAGTAATGCATCTAACAGTGATGACCTATGCCTATGTTTACAAAAATATCTAATTTTTTTAGCATAATTTCAACATTTTTCCTGTCAACATTTTACTTTATTCCCCAAAAATCCTTAGATTTGAAGTGGAAATAATGTTACTTCTCACGTATAAATGAATCAGACAGACATCAGGAAAGGAAGACTAACAGGACTCACGAAACCTTAATTTACAACTCTCCATGCCCTTTAGGTCTAAAAACTTTCCATTTTGGTCAGAAAATAAAATGTAATTTATTTTTTCTCCCAAAAAAATGTACCCTAAATATTATAAATTAGCAGAGGGCAAAGATGTACAGAATATCTCTGAACTAATGACCATGGAAAAAGAAGTTCTGGTGATTACCATAATTATAGCATTAAAAAAGAAACTAAACTTTCTTATTTTCTTGTAACACACAATCTTTTCAACTCTGAAATTAAAATCAGGTTTGAAATGTTAATAATTTAATTCTGTGACATATACTATTGTCTAGTTGATCAGCCGGTAAGGCTTTATCTACATAGGGTTATATGAAAATCCTGTTATTTTGTAGCAAAGCCAAAATCACAAGCCAATCATTAGTAGCAGAAAAGTATTTAATCGTTGGACTTAATACATGCTATTTTTGGACAGGTTATATAAGGCAGGAGTGTATGATTGTGAGAAAATTGTCAGAAACTTGTCAATGTCTTTTCAGATTGCCAAGAGTAGGCATATAAGGGAAGAAGTGGGTGTTTGAATTTAGGTTTCTCAGATCTATCATTCAGTCAAACAGAAGCACACTTTCCACATTAACAGGATTCATATCACACATCAAATACTTTCATTTAATTCTCCTTTAATACTGCTTAATCATGACTGTTTCTTCCCTATTAGACTTTGCATGTAGTTTCCAAGCCCTATCACTACACTGGTATAAAATATGCATTCCATCTCTATGAAAGCTCTAACAAATGAGCTAAGATTAAATTTACTTCTCTGTTCATGCACATTACAATGGTCATTCAGAAAAAGGCATGGAAAATATTTATCCCTGCAGGGATTTTAGAATAAGTTAATACTGCCCTTTTTGTAAATATGGAAAGCAGAATCAATGGCATTAAAATATTCATTTAGGATTATAGGTACTGATTAATATTCATAACCATAAATTTATATATTTGAATTTTAGCTCCTTGATAACGGCAAAAATATTTTTTTAAAGAAAAAACTTGGATTTTCACAGTGTTTAAAAACATCAGTGACACACACTCAATAATATGCACATACACCCACCCTTCCCTACACACATAGGACCAGAAAAACTGAGTGTACTAAAATATCAATTAATATCCAAGGTAACAATGTTCCATGTTATAGCCTTAATGTAAACTGTTTCAGCTTAGAAACAAAACAGAACAAACCAACTACATATTCTATCCATACCACTTTTCGACTCAGCAAAAACTGTTCCCCCAAATTAAAAAAATATATATGTATATGTGTGTGTGTGTGTGTGTGTGTGTGTGTGTATACACACACACACATTTAATTTATTCCCTTTTTGATGTAGCAGATCATCACCCTAATTGTTATGTTTAAACTAATTTCCCTGAGAAAAGTAACGTCTGGAAGAATAAACTGAAACTACTACTATTATACTACATGGCAGAGAGGTTTCTGCTTGAGATATAAAACTTACCATGTGTAATTTCCCATGTGAATTTAAAAAAAAATACAAGTAAAACTCTGAGATAAATAATCAAAATTTTCCTAAGCATTCAGGAGATAGAAGCTGAAATACCTTTGAATATATAGCATTCTTTCAAACTTATTTTTAAAAAGCATAATAAAATAGTATGCTAGTGCCAACTATATTTACAAATAATAACTAATATTAATTCTAAGCAATGTATAAATTATGGTTTACAAGAATGTCACATGTCAATTTTTACCTGTCTTTGGCTCCACTGAGAAGTATGGCTGTCCCTGCAGAATACTGTAGACCACTCTGGCACTGTTGCCATACGTAGGATCATCAGCATCTGTCGCTGTCACTTGTACAACTGAGGTCCCTAGATGCCAATCCCAAAACCACTGAATTAAAAACTTCCAAATGCCACAAAACAAAATAACTCAAAAAATGTTACTGATTCCACATTAAACTTATTTGAAAGTTTTCATTTATCTTTTTTCAAGGCACATAAAAATTGATACAGTATTTTTTTTAATAAACCAACCCTAAAGAGATGATAAATATTAACAAAACCTTTGAAATATTTAAGGGATAAGAAACATTCTGGCAAAAAATACTATCAATGATACTCCTTAGGCTGGGATATACTCCGAATCAGATGGGACTGAAATTTTAGGCATCTCATCCATGGGGCTCAGGTAATACATTTTCATCAAGCACAGCTTCTAGCAGACTCAATCACTGTCTGGAAAGCAGCATGACAATAGCATCTTGGACACTCCAACCACTGCGGGTATCCAACTGTCATAGTTAGGAAGACCCAGACAGACACCAAAATGTCATTAAATGACAAAGAAGATTTGATCCACCTCACTGGATCAAATGTGGCTACCCTATCTCCTTGGGAATTGTTTTATTGTTTCCAGCATTTAATTTAAAAACAAGACAGAAAATGAAAATTTATACCAAACCCCTTCCAAAAGAGAAAAACCATGGCAACTTTAAAAAGTGTATCAATATTTTTTTCTTTATTACATATGATGAAATGTTGAATTCTTTCTTCATTTACTATATATTCACACATTAAATATAGAAAGCATTTCTCCCAATCTGTTATTTTTTCCCGTTTGGAATGTAATTTTTAAAATATTAGAGACTCATGTTTGCCTACTTTACATATGGAATTATATACTATTATTTAGTAATTATCTTACATTTTAAATACAGAACAAGTCCCTTTCTTTATGTATTCTTTAAGGTCCTAGCTTGTTTCAAATAATTTCCTGAATATGACATTTTAAAGCAAACATATTTTTTAGATTTATTTCTATGTAAATATCTCTTTCTAAATCTCTTAAGCCAGTAATGTACATTTTGCTATAAATCTACTTTATTTTCTATATATATTTGCTTGCCAATTTCATTTTCTTTAAAATTATGTAGAAATTATGAAAGTTAAGTGTACAACACTATTCTTAAAATCCTGAAGTTTTTAATTTTATGGACTTAGATGATTGTGCTCTGTGGATATCTGATAGGGCCAAGATGGTAAATAATGCATATTTTAAAATCTTTTTAAGAATTAAAGTTTGAATATTTTTAATGTTATAATAAATTACATTATGGACTCTCTTTCTTCTATACGCATCACCTTTCCAATGTTTATTTTGGTACTATGACTAAGTATGATTTTGCTACTTCATTTTAAAAGAAAGTAAACAATTTTAAAGCAAGTAATAAAAACTAAACTTCAGTAAGTTTGGCTGTGGACAATAAAACAGGTTTTTTTCTGAAAAGTTTATTATCTTATTTAACGTATATAGACACACACACTAAATACACACACATATTCACAAATAAATTTAAACTTTCCATGCCTGTCTATGTTCTTCTGGCAATAAATAAAGTATCCTAAAGGTTTACTAGTGTTTTTAAAATTTTATCATTAGTTAACATCCGATTAAAAATAAAAAAAAGATCCCTGAATATTAAACACCGATAGCTTGCATGGTATATTTCATACTATTTGATGGCTATTATATTTGGTTAGGCTTAAGCACTTTAAATATAGTGTTGATAAACTGTAAGTTCATACAATATGTGTTATGTAGTATAGATATTCCATGTTCTATGTTCCGATTTTTGTGTTAACTTAGTGATCTGAATAGGTGTCATGTACACCCTGAAGACATCTGAAAATAATTTTCTAAAAAAGTTCCAATCCCATTTGAATCAGCTAAGTAAATAACTTAAATATAAATTATTTAAGTACTGTGATATGAAATGGCATGACTACTGTGCACATGTAAATAACATAAGTTATTTTATTTACAACATACATTATTTAAGTGTGCATAATGGTCATGCCGTTTGATGTCAGAGTACTATCAAAATCAAAATGACAGTGTACTATTAGCTTCTAAAACAAAAGTTCACATGTACCCAATTTGCATAGCTATATTCTATGTAGGAAAGGAAAACCTTAGCAAGCCAATGAAAAACCACCAAAATGTCCATGAGAATTGGAGTACGAAGTTGAATTGAATTGCTCAAACAGGTCTCAAAAATTCCTGTTTTACTAAACATTGCTAATTTGGGGAGGAAAATAGGCCCTTTATTTTTTCAAAATCCTCCAAAACCTTCTAACAGTTACCGGGCCTGCTGCTCTTGTTGGTAAGCAAAGAGCAGCAGGAAGCACTTGGAAGGCGTGGACAGTAGTGAGAAAGTGTGAATACGTCTATGTGGTCACAGAAATGCTAGCAATGCTTACATATGTGCTAAGTATAGTAAGATAGTGCCACTGTGGTTCAAATTCCTCCTGTCCACAAGGACTGATTCCTGTCTCATCATTTGCTGTTCCTCTACAGGCTAGAGCTATGGCAATGGCCCAAATAATTTCCCCTCTCTCTTCTGATAGGAACAGAAATTTAGGGCCACTGAACTGTGATTCCCCTAATTAGCACACATGATACACATCTTGCAACCCCAATCGTCAGTGTCTTGGTAATGCTGACTGCATCACTGGATGAATGAAATGACCTTCTTTTTAAATAAATCATATTGGTTAAAATCCCCATGTGTTAAAATATAACTTCCATTATTATTTTATATAAATTTCCTATTTCAATATTTTAAAAAGCAGGAAATAAATATATAAATCAATTCATCTCTCATCCAATTTCATATTTTTTACTTTTTATTTTTGTTAAGATTGCCTAAGCTTAAATTACATACTGGCCATAAACTATTCCAAAATTATCTGGATAAATGAAATTAAAAAAAAAGAATTTCTATTATTAGATATAAATAAAATACACACTAGAATTCTTTACTTGACATCTTTCTAGTAATGCTGCAATGACCAAAGGCCTTTAAATAAAAAAGCCTTCATTTTTTAAATATATATCTCCAAATGGTATCTCCTTACCATTGCTATAAATTCACTACAAAGTTTCACGTATTTAAGTGTTTGGAGAAATTTTTGAAAACACGCGGTAGCATGGACACATGGCAGGGAACAACACACATTGGGGCCTGTCGGAGGGTTAGGGGAGGAGGGAGAACATCAGGAAAACAGCTTAGGGATGCTGGGCTTAATAGGTGATGAGATAATGTGTGCAGCAAACCACCACGGTACAGGTTTACCTATCTAACATGCGCATCCTACACATGTATCCCTAAACTTAAAATTAAAAAAAAAATCAGTGGTGGCATGTGGATGACCATTTGTGGGTCCAAGGATACTCATTACAATTAAATAGACCAGCAGTCCACATATTAGCCTGGCTAGCCATCAACGGCCTTATTGATACATTGGTCCCAGAGATATGTTTAGGATAATGAATCAATATCTCAATATAATGGAAAGAAAAGTAAAAGATCATCACTGGCCTGTGTCTGGAAGAATTCTGTTTGTTAACTTCTGAGGCATCACTGTAATCATTTAAAAATAAATAAATATCAAGTTGAAAAAAATGTAAGATTAAAGTAATTTCCTGAAAACACTGAAATAGCTGTATAAATAAAAACAATTTCCTAATTTTCCATACAAATAAATAATGTTAAGTTGATGGATATTGGATACCAACATGGCTCAAATGTTCTCCTCACCCTAATGGACAGTTACTACACACATACTAGTGTTTGTTTGTTTGTTTTTCCAGTATTTAATGATGATTTAATTTTAAATACAAACCTCCCCAAATCAGCCACAAGCTACAAAAGCAGAGTGCTCTTTACTTACCCACAGGAGACATTTCAGGAACTCCTGCCGTGTATGGGCCATCCAAAAATTTGGGTTCATTGTCGTTGATATCCTGAATTTTGATGACAAACTCAGACTCGGGCTCCACGGGCTTGTTGGTGAGCCTGTCAAGTGCTTGAGCTCGGAGCGTGTAGTAGGCCTGCTCCTCACGATCCAGTCTCTTGGTGGCATGAATATCCCCAGTGTTCTCATCAATAATGAAAATGGAACTTGCCCCTTCGCCTGACAAGATGTATTTGATGGAACCATCTCCTTTATCAACATCAGAGTGGAGCTGGTGAAAAATTCATGTGAGATGAGATTAACTTACAAGAGAGTCAGCGATATGGAGATATGTAAAAATAATTCTTATGTCAGGCAGCAGTACATGAAATGTTATTGTTCTTGGAAAGATAAGCTGAACGCTTATTGTGCACAGCAGAAAGGCTATTAGAATGTGTCAGCTGGTACTTGTGAGCAAGACAATTTCATTTCTTCCTGTAAACAGTCTCATTTCCAAAGGTATTTTATATCATTCCCAAAGTTGGGAGCTGGTTGTAGTGTTACTTTTGATTTGATCTGTTCTTGCCAGTGTTAGCCATCTTCTTTGAACACAGCAGGCACTCAGTAAATGTGTATAATTGGTTGATTTGATCTATTTCAAGCAAAGAAACTTTCTATAGAACACTTGTAAATCTAGTTCTAATATGTCATTTAATATTCTTAGACACCCCCACATTCTTTTAGGGTGCCCTTTTCTTCCTCCTCCCTGCCCTGTCCCCACTCCCACTCCTTTCTGTGATTAACGAGTCTGGCTGGATGTCCAGTCTCTAAGTCTGTCTCCAAATCCCATCCTATATTTTAAAATTTGAAGCTGAAAAAAATGACACTGCTCTCTAAAGTAGGAATTTTAAATCAGTATGTGCATGGGACTTCAACTAAAACCTTTCTTGAAATACCAAGAACTGCATTAGATTTGCATGATTAAGCACAGCATCAGCAGCAGGGGCAGCAAATCCCGATTTGCATTTCCTACCTGGAACTGTCCCTGCTGTATGTCAGAACATTATGTTGAACAGAGGAACCTCAGGAAACTCAGACGTAATTACACATTTCCCTGAACTTCATAACCTGAGAAACACACTACTCAATCTGTCATTTCAACAATCTTTCACCCTCTATAAGTGCCTTCATTCTGTACTTCGGTTAATATGAATGTAAAAACCCAATTTACCAAACAGTAAAGCTTTTCACTGCCCTATAGAACTATATTTGCATTTTTAAAAGACAAGGTGCTAAAAATATATAAAATATGGGGAAAAAAAACACCGAGGAAAGTATGGGCATGGTGCATTTTCATCCTTCCCTGGTAGCTGTTGCGGACATAGCTTTTTACACCTGGAATTTCTGTAAGTGACTCTTCCACTGCACTGTTTAACAGCTGTGTTTATCCTCTGCTTCCAAGTACTTGAATACCTCATTTAACTTTTGGTTTCTGTAGTTTTTAGTCAGGCCTAATTAATACAAAAAAAAATAATCTCTGGCACAAGTTATAATTTAATTTTTTTTTCAGTGTGGAATTATCTAGTGGATTCTACTCCACATGTTTATTCAGTGTATGGAAAAGGTGTGTTGTTGAGCTATTGTGAATTATTTAGCTTTCTTAAGTCATTTTCAGGGTTACTATTATATGTGTATCTCCCCCTAATTTATAATACAAAGGGTGAAATGTGAGAATTATTATAGTTTGAATTATTAGGAACTTCCTAGATGTCAGTCACTATGCTTAACATTCTTTTAAAAACAAACAAACAAAACTTTATTTTAGGTTCAGAGGTACCTGTGAAGATTTGAAGGTTCGTTACATAGGTAAAACATTCTTTAGGTAGTAAGTCATTCAATATTCACATCTGCCCTTAATCCCATTAACAAATGAGGAAACTGAGGTAGAGTAAGGCTAAGAACCTTGCCTGAAGTGGCCCAGCCAACTCTCTGGCAGAGCCAGGATTATGAAAACTGGCAGCCTAAAGTCCACATTCCCAGTCCCTCTAATGAGATCCACCCTCCAGGACAGAACTGCTGCGCTGTGTGCTAGGGTCTTCAAGTGCTGATGCAAAGGAGAACTTAAGGAAAGGAAGGAATATGCAACCAACCGCACCTGATAATTCCCCAAATCTTCAAGATCCTCAGTGCTTCGAGATGGTTTCCATCTGTACATTTTATGACTTATAAGAAGGGTCCCTTCTTGCCATTACATAACAATAAACTCCACCACACTCAACAATACATAGCAAAACACTTGACTCCCAAGACCAATGCAGATGATGGATGAAAATAAGTTGGTTTTAAGCTTCCAGTCCCTGGACCGCCTAAAAGTTCAATGCAGCTCTCCTAACGCTCCATTACCTTCCTCTGCTCCTCTGGAACGGCACCTGGTGGCAACTTATCTACGTGTTACTGCTGACAGTGGCAGGAAATGTTAGAACATCCAGAAGAGCACAAGAAATATCAGTTATACATTGGTCATGTCTTTAATCAAAGCTTTTCTACACTGAAATTACATTGAGGTCTTTCACTTATAGAACAAGCCCTTATGATTCATTTACCTAATTCCTGCCAACTGATCGCTGTTTTCGTGGTATGGTGATACAATGTTCCTGTGGTATTCCAAGTATGAGAAAGAAAATAAATTCATTTACAATAAAAATCACACAGTAAGCCTTGACTGTGAACTTCGACCTGAGCTCTGATGCTGCATTTTATTAAACATTACTGGCTTGTCAGTTGTTCTCCATTACTAACAGCATCAAAACTTAAAAGTAAAAGCTTCATACCGTTTGCTTCTCCAATCATTCAACAGTCAAATTCTTTCTCTTCTACTACCTACCTGTGCCCCGTCCCCCCAACACACACATCACACACATCCTGTTTCAGGAGTCCTCAACTTTATTATTCTTCCCATCACTGACAATTTTCTCCCAGCCGGGACTATCACTAGGCTTGTAACCAATGCCAAAATTCGCAAGCAGAAAATTGCTTGGAGTCTAAACTCCGTGTCCATGCAAGGTTACTATAAGCATCTGTGGTTAAAAGTGACCAACTTTGAATTGTTAAGATGGGGACACAATTATCTGAGGCATTCAGACATTTAATCTGTGAGACTTTGTGCATTATACTAATCCTAATAGGTGGAGTGAAATCCACACTCTTAGTAAAAAAACTACTCTTTCCTTGATAAAAACAAATGCTCAGCAAAGAAGAGAAATGTTGCCAAGTATAGAAATAGCAAATCATGTTCTTAAGTTGGCAAGTGTCTATGTAGGCACGGGCACACTCACGGACACGCACAAACACACACACACACACACACACACACACACGGATGCCTTTGTGAATAACTATTACAACCCAAACTGAAAAATGTTGCTCTCCCCTGTGAAAACTTTGACCAAGACAAAAGCAAATAACTATCATCCTATAAAATGGTAAATAAGTACATAAACAAAATAAAAACACAACCAAAGAGAAGTATTTGTGCTCTATTTGGGGGCAGAATAGGAATCGCCGAAGTCTATTGTCCTCACAAACACCCCTGTAAATGTGATCCTGAAATTAGCCTAAACAATAACCAAAAAAATCTCTATTCATAAGCAGACAAAACTTACCTTTACTGCCTGGGTTCCTAAATCCTTTTCAAAGTATTTGTTTTGACTTCCAAGTAATTATTTGCATTAAAATTTTTTTTTCAAAAATGAGAACAAAAAGTGAGTGGCATAGAACCCTTCGTTGAGCCTAGCTCACGATAAGGCAAAAGATAAGCTGAGGCAGAGGTACAATTAGGTAAATCCAGTGTTTTTAGGTCAGCATCATGTATTAATATGTAAGAAATATCAATCAGGCTTTCATAAACTATGTAGACCACAATGCAAATCACATTTTAGAATATATTTCTGAATAATCCATTAAAGCTCCATCAGCTCCTGAGTGATAGAGCGCCCCCCCCCCCACCCGCCCTGCCATGTATCTATTATACTGGAGCCCTTTACATTCATTCTGAACTACAATCCTAGTTTAGAATCTTCAAACTTTTCATTTGGGCTATTTCAAAACACCTCAATTACTTTTTAATGTTAGTAACTCACATTGTTTAGGCTGTCATAATCAAATTATTTCCTCTAAAACACAAATTATATCATACCCCTCATTAGGTATGGTTTTGTGGCCAGGCACAGTGGCTCACACCTGCAATTCCAGCACTTTAGGAGGCCAAGGTGGGCAGACCATGAGGTCAGGAGTTCAAGACCAGCCTGACCAACACGGTGAAATCCCAACTCTACTAAAAATACAAAAATTAGCTGGGTGTGGTGATGCGTGCCTGTAATCCCAGCTACTCCGGAGGCTGAGGCAAGAGAATCACTTGAAGCTGGAACCCAGGAGGTGGAGGTTGTGGTGAGCTGAGATCTCGGCGCTGCACTCCAACCTGGGTGACAAGAGCCAGACTTTGTCTCTAAATAAATACATAAATAATAAATACAATTTTGTCCACAAGAGTATCTTTATTGATGAGTACTGAAACATAATACTGATGATAATATCACATATTTGCACAATAATGTTAGCTCTGAAGAACTTTCATGATGGATCAGCCCCTGGGTGTGGCCTGTAGCTTCCCAGGGGTCCAGCCAATTGTGGTTGATCATTCCAGGAAGCATCAGTTGCTATGTATATGCTCATTTTAGAGACTATGGAACTTACATCTTTGCTGAGAATTCAACTCTTTTGCAGTTATTTCAAAGCGAATGAAACAATTACTTGGCTGATTCTTGATCCTTCTTCATTGGCCTTTTCAACGTGCTCGGCAAATATATTTAATTGCTTCCCATGATCTATGGATTTGACCGAAAATTCTAGGCATGAGTCCCAATCTGACTCCATACCATCTCCCTGACCTCGTTTCTCCACCACAATTATGTGTATTCTATGCTACAAGCATGCTGGACTAGTTCTCAGTATCTGAGCATAGCAAGCATTACCATGCTTCCCAACACACGCACTCACTGGCATCCAATTCAGCTCCATGCCAGTTCCCTTTTCCTGAAGTCTTACAACTGTCCTATTTATTTCCCATAGCTTCTTGTTTCAATTTCTATGACAGAATTCATTTAATTCTGCTTTATATTGAAAATCTAGTTTATTTTTATATCTAATTTTATCAACTCCTTAAGAACTAAGTTCTTTTTATCACTATGTTCTACATTCTTAATAAACAGTCTGTTGTATTAAATTTGGTAAATG